GTTCAAGTTTTGAGCCAGTTTAATACTTAAAGTGTTACCTTTTTATTGTATTTATTATTTATTATTTATTATCTAATTGATTCATTGGTATGTTATAATTCGAATTTTTAGAACCTTTTTCTCAGAACGATACGATTCTTATAAAATTAGTTAAATATAAATGTAAATTACTCAAGGATACTATTGTGTCAACAGGAAAGATTGATTTAAAATTCTGTTCGATTCTTCAAATTTGAACATTATGTACTTTCATTCTTGATTTCTTTGCAATGACCTACTGTAATAAGCAGTTAATTTGTTTTACTTATTACCGTAAATTCACGAAATATTGAAAGATTACGTTATTATTTTGATATAGAAGATCGATCTCAAACTTTATTATTGCTATGTGATAAGTCTGCTGACAATAAATGAAATGTCATAATACATGTGGCGTCATTTAGAAACCAACTATAATATTGTAAAAAGTTAAACTGTCGAGTTAACGCCATTTCAAGAATTTGCAGTTTTTTTTTTTTTGTTTTGACAAAAATTTTTTTTTTTTTTAATGCATAAAAATAATTTGATAAATAAATACATCTTAAACTGTATCATCAAAAATCAGTTTTTAAAATTTTTCAAAAATCGATTCAGATCAATACTAACCTTTAATTAAACACATTATGCCTTGCTACACAGACACAATCATAAAAATCAAGTATGTTAAAAAAAGTGAAAAAGAAAACGCGAAAGTAATTTCAGTATGGCTATCGGAACATACCCAGTAGGATGTGAAAACAACGAAATTGAAGTGATTTTATTTATGCCAGTCAATCCAAAGGATCATGACCCTGAATCGCAAGCAATTTTTAAGAGAGATGAACACTACTCTGTTGGAGGAAAAATTGTACCTGGATCTACGCTGGAAAAATTAGGCCAAAAGTATTTAAATTTTCTGCTAAATCATTGTAAAATAACCTTTTAGAACTTATTTAAAATACTCAGTTCAAAGAAAGTTAATAATTAATTTCAAATGTTTTTTTTTTTTGTAATAATATTTTTTTTTAAAAAAACTTTTGACTAAATCAATTATTTATTTTCTTTGAACTGAGTATTTCTAAATAATTCCTAGAATGTTATTTTATAGCATGACATATAAAAATTTACAATATTTGATTTAATATGTAGATGACGGCTTCTACTTCAACTCACTTAACAATCGCTGATAAAGTATCAGATTCAAATAAGTGCCCTCTAAAAATTTCTCTAATAGGAGTTTCCCAAGGAATGCCAGTTGAAATTAAAGATACTGACAATTCTGTCTTAGAAACGCTTATATCTAATTATGTCGGCCAATCATATAATTATACAGTCAAAGTGGTCTTCCTTCATGAAAATCCACATTTTAAGCACTTTACAACAACAATTCGCCCCCAAGAATCAATTATTTTCGTAATTGGGCAAATGGAAATAATTGATAATAAACTTTTGTTTATGCTAATGATAGCAACTACGTTGACACTCATTTTATCACTAAAAAAAAAGAACTTACCAATACCGAATTATCACAAACAAATCCAAATGATCCAAGCTTTTGTATATTCATCAAAATGTTACCAAAAATTTGGAAGATAGTTTTAAAGAAAGCACACATTCATTAAAATGCAAAAGATCAGAAGAAAACATCAAAACAGAAAATGTGATACTTACTAACGCTACTAATAGTGAAGATGATTAAACAAAGCCCGAAGATTCTATTCAAACAGATAAAGAACCCGAAACTGATATGACTGAAAAAAGGTCTGATGAAGATAACGAATGCCCAACACGAAATACACACAATTCTAAAAAAATAAATAATTCAATTGTGAATTCTAATGAATAATCATTGTTAGTATAGTATCTAATATATAATGTATAATGTATATACATATATATGTTTATATATATATATATATATATATATATATACAATATTCATAATATAAGTTTATTTTATACTCAACTACATGTGTATATATTTTATTAAAATTCTCATATATATTTACTTGATATAAAATGAATGCTTTATTACTATTATACAAAAGTCGAAAAATAAGTGTAACTTTCTCATATGCAAGCATGCGCATAATATAATAAATCAAGCAGTAAAATCCAGTATTTACCTTAATTGGTCATGCGATAACAACTTAAGTACAATGCTGCACAATACTATTTTAACTATAAACAAGAAATATGTGTACGTATGTACGTAAATTAATATTAATAACAATTGAGCAATTAAGGAAATCAGACTAAATTATTACCTTTTCAGTAGTAAATAACACATTATTGTTATATCGATAGTCTGATTTTCCATACGTACATGCATCAAATTCTACTAATCCACTCTTATTGTACTTAACTAGATATGTTAAAATAGATGCATAGCGTAAAATCTGAACTTTGACCAGTAAATATAATTTTGTTCTGTGCATGATACAAAATTAACTCCTAAAAATTTCTATAATATTCCTGATTCACCAAACATAAATATAAATCAAACAAAAAAAAAAAGCAAAGTATATGCTATCGTTGATCACAGTAACACATTCAAAATAAATGAATCGAACAAAAAAAAAGGCAAAGCATAGTAGGCACTAAGCTATAATAAAGTATAACAACCTATGACTATATTAGATTTCTGTACTATTCTTATGAATCATACTTACTATTTAAATCCTATTATTGCTCACTATCTGCATTTCTTAATCCGGTAATTGTATGATTGACTATTTTGTTATTTTACTCAATATAGCAATCCAATTACACTTAGCCTTTTTTTACCGTAGTATTATTGGTATTACAAAATTTGTTCAAGTCAAGTATGACATCAGAACAACAATGCACGCAATATTTATGAAGCATAAAATATGACAAAAGATAAATATAATAAATTAGAAATGGCGCAATGAAGAAAAACTCAACTAAAACATATTAATAAAAAATCGTGTATATGTTAAAATACTTACATCTTAAAACATATAAAACCCAACATTTTTTCTCTATCTCTTCGAATCTAATATTTATGAACCAAATATAAATAACTATTTATCTATAAAAACAAAAAACTTCTTACAAAATCGTTAATACCCTTGATAATATTACTCTATTTATAATTATATAATAATAGTAATAAATATGAATACTGAACAAAGAACTATACAAGCACAGAGAGAATATGAAAAAGTGAACAGAATATATAACCTCGGTCATATGAATATAGAATGTATTCACTGTGGTGCTCTTCATTGGCTAGATGAATAATTAACACATTCTTCAATTCAAAACCCTAGATTTGGATCATGTTGTCTTCAAGGAAAAGTTATTCTTCCTCTTCTTAATGACCCTCCACCTCTTTTATAACAATTATTTGAAGATGATAATGATGAAGCCAGAGAATTTCGCATAAATATTCGTCAGTATAATGCTGCTCATGCATTTACATTGCTAGGCATCAAAATTGATCGAACTGTTTTGCAAGGACATGGTCCATATTGTTTTCATATTAGTGGAGAATTATACCATTTGTCTGGTTCACTTCTTCCTGCTGAAAACGATAAAATAGAATATGCACAACTTTATATATATGACCCGATGATAGCACATCTATTACGAATGAATCGAAATATTAATTTATCAGCACAAACAATGTGGAAAATACAAAACATTTTACACACTTACAATCTATATTGTTCACTATATCAACAAGCCTACGAAATTCTCTCCCAATTCCACATAAACAATCCTATTAATACAAATTTAGCCGTTTATATACATTATGTTAGTACAACAAATATACATCACTATAATCTTTCAACAATAGATGAAATAGCTATTCTCTTACCAGGTGACAGATCCATGCCAGAAGCTATGCGCGATATAGTCATTCGATTACACAATAATTCACTTGAACATATTCATGAAGGACATCCTGCTTATTTATCGTTACATTATGTACTTCTTTTTTCACATGGTGAGCTTGGATGGCATAAAGAATTGCATCAAATAAGTATAAACAATCAAGTTAATAATCCAAACAAAATTCCCCATATTACACAAAAACAATTTTTTTCCGTCCGTCTCTTTTCATACAATACTGAATTTTCAACAATTCTTTGAGGTGGCAAATTATTTCAAGAATTCATAGTTGATGCATAGGCAGCAACAGAACAAAATCGGTTAAGGTATTTACGTAATAACCAAGGCATATTACATGCTGATCTATACCAGGGACTTGCAGACGTTGCTGGAAATATTGCAAATAGAGAACTAACACTTAATAATCTTGAACGTTGAATAATTTTTCCTTCTACACATATCAGCAGTTCATGTCATATGTTTGAAATTTTTCAAGATTCGATGGCAATTACTCAGCATTATCAACACCCTGATATCTTTGGAACTATGACGGCAAACCCTAGATGGCCTGAAATTACTAATGAACTATTACCTGGTCAAACATCAGCTGATCACCCAGATTTAATAGCACGTGTATTCGAATTAAAAGACAGTCTCTTTTCAAGGATATTAGAAAAAATAACCTTTTTGGCAAAACCGTTGCTCATGTCTACACAATCAAGTTCCAGAAACGTGGTTTTCCTCATATTCACTTTTTAATATTTCTCCATAAAGATTATAAAATAGATAAAAAAAAAACTCTTTCTGCTCATCATCTGTACACAAAAATTCGTCACAATAATTTTTACATTTTTCTCAATTTACAGAAATTTTATTAAGTTAACAACCTTTTGTCTCTTAATAACATTTGTTTAGCTACTGTTTTTACATATATCTGTAAATTTCAAGTCTGTATTACTCATCGTTCTTGAGATATTCGATTTACGAGAACAGACGGACAAAACTCTGTTCTCTCCCCAAAGTTCTGCTGTTTCTGGCAAACTGGGCTTAATAATATACTGATACCTTATAATTGAATTTGTAGAGCTCATCTCTGGCTTCAAAACAA